GGGGCGCGGGCAGAGCTGGGGGGGAGCCCAGGGCTAGGCTGGCAGGGGCTGCAGGTCAGGAGTGAGGGGCACCAGGGGGCAATCTTAGGGCTACTGGAGCTAATGCTGAGCAGCCACGAATGGGCAGCTGCGTGCGTGGCGTTGTTCACGAGCAGGCTGCTAACTGACCTAACGATGGTTGTTCCAAGACAGCTGTGCAGGCCGGTCCTGGGGGCTCTGGGTCCAGGCTGCCCCCAAGGTCCCAGGCTGGCTCAAAGTCACCAGCCATGGGCACACTTCCTAGGGCATGGGCATCTGTCTGCTCAGGCCCAAGATGCAGGGCAGGTTGGGGGGCAGGGCGCAGGGGGCTGAGGTCTCGGTGCCATGGAGACGGGATACTCTGGGGTCCGGTAGCCCCTGCCAGCCCAGTCCTGCCGGTGCCCCTGACTCCCGACCCACAGCCCCTGCCAGCCCAGTCCTGCCGGTGCCCCTGACTCCCGACCCACAGCCCCTGCCAGCCCAGTCCTGCCGGTGCCCCTGACTCCCGACCCACAGCCCCTGCCAGCCCAGTCCTGCCGGTGCCCCTGACTCCCGACCCACAGCCCCTGCCAGCCCAGTCCTGCCGGTGCCCCTGACTCCCGACCCACAGCCCCTGCCAGCCCAGTCCTGCCGGTGCCCCTGACTCCCGACCCACAGCCCCTGCCAGCCCAGTCCTGCCGGTGCCCCTGACTCCCGACCCACAGCCCCTGCCAGCCCAGTCCTGCCGGTGCCCCTGACTCCCGACCCACAGCCCCTGCCAGCCCAGTCCTGCCGGTGCCCCTGACTCCCGACCCACAGCCCCTGCCAGCCCAGTCCTGCCGGTGCCCCTGACTCCCGACCCACAGCCCCTGCCAGCCCAGTCCTGCCGGTGCCCCTGACTCCCGACCCACAGCCCCTGCCAGCCCAGTCCTGCCGGTGCCCCTGACTCCCGACCCACAGCCCCTGCCAGCCCAGTCCTGCCGGTGCCCCTGACTCCCGACCCACAGCCCCTGCCAGCCCAGTCCTGCCGGTGCCCCTGACTCCCGACCCACAGCCCCTGCCAGCCCAGTCCTGCCGGTGCCCCTGACTCCCGACCCACAGCCCCTGCCAGCCCAGTCCTGCCGGTGCCCCTGACTCCCGACCCACAGCCCCTGCCAGCCCAGTCCTGCCGGTGCCCCTGACTCCCGACCCACAGCCCCTGCCAGCCCAGTCCTGCCGGTGCCCCTGACTCCCGACCCACAGCCCCTGCCAGCCCAACCCTGCCCACCCCCAGCCCAGCCGGTGCCCCTCGCTCCAGAGGCTCCTGGGTTCCGTTGCCAGCTCTGTGTGACCTTGGCTGGGTTATGTTTCCCACCAGCTCTGGGGAGGAGCGTGGCAGCTGGGCAGGAGCAGCCCTTGAATCTGAGTGACGGGCTGGGAGGGGCATAGCGGGGCGAGAGGGTTTAGACAGATGCTGGGTCAGCTCATGAGGCTGGGGGGAGACAGTCTGGAGCCCGTTAATGACTGTGGAGTCCCCGGGGGTCAAAGCCAAGCAGAGCAGTGGGGGAGGAGAACGCAGGAGTCCTATCCCCAGCCCCCTCCCACCTGCTCACTCCAACCACTAGCTGCCACTCCCCCCCGGAGCTGGGAATGGATGTGGTCATTGTGCCCTCCCAGATGCTGAAGGATATAAGCACTGGGCAGCCCGGCCCTGGGAGGGGAATGGCATCTAGTGGCTACAGCTGGCAGCCCAGCAGCTCTGGTCCTGGGGCTGGACCCTGGCCAGTGCCCCTTGGTGCCATGGGGGGATTCAGGAGGGGGCAGTGCTCGTCACCTGGCATCTGTCCCTGCCACTCCCCCCCCCCCCCCCCC